AATTATTCTTATTCTTATTCTTATTCTTATTCTTATTCTTATTCTTATTCTTATTCTTATTCTTATTCTTATTCTTATTCTTATTCTTATTCTTTTAAAAATTTTTGTTCGTGGGAGTCATGATTTTACTACTTTTTTTTACTACTTTTATTTATTTATTTTTCTTTATTTAACACATTTCTACAACTCCAGAAACGGCTAATAAGAGAGCTGGTTTGCTTTTATTTCAGTCTCTTAAAGATCGAGTCATCTAAAAATATCTCACTTCAAACCAAAGGTGCGGATGAATGGCAAGTTGTTAAAGGCCGTTCTTCTGGAACAAAAGCCACAATGAAGCCTAATTCCTCACGTCAGTACCATCAAATTGATGGTCTTTCAGGATTCGACGACAGAGAGTATCAAAGATACAATAGTCGTCTACCTTCAGACACAACTACTTATATGGAACAGCGAGATCCTAGTGAAGAAATAAAGCCAGGAAAATCCTTGGCCAGCAAGAACGAAGGCTTTCTTTCAACTAGCCAAGATGTCCCGTTACATTTGCGTGGAGCACAAAACAGTGTTACCAGTGATATTGGAGTGTCAACTGCTTACAATCAGCAATCACCGTCTGGTGATTGTGTACCTCGACTTTCAAGAGAATCTAGTCATGCTACTGGTTGCACTTCTGTTCCCTCACTACCTCCCCCTGGGATTCATATGCCCAGACTTCCAAGAGAACTGTCTGCATCTGTTTGTGCCCCCAATACTTCATCTACAAATTCTGTTTGTACTATCAATGGCACATTTAACACTGCAAATGTATTGAATTCAAATGGGCTATACACCTCGTCTGACACACTTACATCCCCTAGTATTATGCAGCAAAATTTACCAAGAGTTCCGTACCCTACCCCTGGTAGTGTAGGCAATACTTCACTCCTCCACCCTGTTGTATCGCATCAAGTATTAGCAGGAGGCCCATACAGCATCCCTACTGTCAGCGATGCCACTATGCCTTCGTCTGTTGTTACCAACCAAGATTTACCAAGAGTTCCGTACCCTACCCCTGGTAGTGTAGGCAATGCCAATCTCCTCC